TTAAAAAAAGTTTATTTGGGCAATAATATGGTTCCGTCAGTGTATACGTCATACCTGACGGATAAACTAGTTATCTGTCACATCATGCCAGATAACAAGAATATATTAGGCAATTATTTAATCAATTTTTAAACAAAAAAAAAAGCAAAAAAACAAACAAACCCAAATTTATCCCTCCGAATTTTATATTCGAGAGTTGACGATCAATAAAGGATATTACGAGCAATCGTTCGCAAGTTCGCAGGGATCAATCTTGGAAGCTGAATTAGAAAACGTAAGTGTTTTTAAGCGTTATAGAGTAAAATGGTATCTTTTTTTTTTCTTTTTTTTCTATTAGTTTCTCAGATCTGTTAATAAAAAAATTCAAAACCACCAATCGTCTAATAAGTGTGTGCTCCGAAAACGAATTGGAAGGACTTTTGATTACTATCGAAAGAACATTTTCGAATTTTAACAATTATAATAATATGCAATTAACGTCGGGAAAACTTATTAAAATGGTGGAGGCGGACTCGGGTGATATAATTTATCAAAATGAAAAATTAGAAATTAAAAATGCAAAATAACTTAAAATTATTTTTAAGTAAAATTTTTTTTTAATCTTAGGATTTTACATTTTCTTTTTGCTTGCAAATATCACTTAGATTTGATCTTCACGCACGTTTTCTTATTCGGCTTTCATTTATACGGTTTGAACACTCTAAATATGTTTTTGATTACTTTGAAATGCAATAATGGGTTTTATAGTTCGACACGACATTCAAAAAAATTTTTTTCGACGTAAATAGCTATTCTTATTATTACGTATATTATTATTATTATTGTATCAATTATTAAATTTAATGTCGGAAAATACAAATAAATTTGATTGGCTTCAAAATACTAAACTAATTCTTGTTCACAATAAACAATAAATAAAAATCTCTTCATATAATAAGAAAAGCATTCAAGCTAGTACTCCGCAAAATCAAATCAAAATTTGAATTTGAATCAAATATTTGATCACTAAATCAAAATTTGTTTTATTAATCAGTGCTAGTTGATATATAAACGCCTTATTTTATAATTTTACATTTTCTTTTTCAAAAAATGTGATCACTGATTTTGCCGCCTTTTCTTCTTGCAATAGTTATAGCTTTTTCGTAAATTAGTGAGATTAATTGTGGTTTCGAGTCTCGTTATTTAATCTTTCGATCGTTAAATTCTTTTAAGTTTCGCAATTGAATTAGAGAAACAAAAATTTGACCGCATTGTAGCAGTTGGTTCCGTAATAACGATAAGAAAAAATAAAATCTCTTTCAAGCCTAAGTTTTTATGCAAAACCTTCATCACACATACAGAAAAAAAAAACTATAAACTCAATGTACTGTAGTTAATTTATATATTTAATATACTCGAAAATTTCTAAAATTTTATCTTACTACTAAAGTTCAAAATTTTTGCCTCCATATTTATTTGACTATCTAAATTTGTTAAAGTTCCTTCAAACAGCGATTGTATTATTATAAAAAACAAAATTAACCTTTTCATAATCAAATATTAGTATGTAAGGTATGTAATAATCTCGAGAAACACGCATTCTTTGAGACAAAATTTGATATAAAAAGGTTAATTCAGAAGATTAACAACTTTGATACGCTTCTTTCAATATGTTTGGAATGAGCGACAATGTCGAGATCCTATGATAAAAGAATTGACAAATTAAATTTATCTTTCAAAAAAATTATTCGACACTACCCTTAAAATTGAAACTTGTTCAGAATCAAATGACATTTGTGTACTGTAGTAGCATTTTTATATTTAATGCAGTCCTATTTCAAAACTTTCAGATTTCGGTACCACATATTCATGAATCTATATATATTTACACATTACATTCCATGATAAAATTTAACCGAATTTTTAATATAGGGATACGCTTGCGCCCATCTAAAAAGTAAACCTTTAGATATTATAACCTGTGTTGAATGGTCAAAATATGATGGAATTTCAAGATTACCGGCAGTACTAAAGTACAGTACGAGTCTTTTGAAGTTATACTGTAGATTGGAGTTATCTGCATTTAGATTGAAGAAATATCAATCAAATGTCCAATATGAAACCTGTCGAATTATTATAAGCAAGCTATAATCGATTATTTACGTAAGATAGGTAATTTAATTAAAGAGAAATTGAACCGATGACAAAATATTGATTAATTAAAATGTTCGCCTAGTTTGTATGTAAGTTTGTAAAAAAAAAAAAAAATTATTTCAATGTCACTAAATTTAATTTCCCTACGGCGGAGCAATTTACAAGCTCAAATCTTGGGGTTTCAAATACTGATTTGACTGGTTAGTTTAATTCGTAATATTATCTTATTATCATTATCATTATTATTATTATTTATCTAACGCAATTCTTCTATATGATTGTTCCAAAAATTATATGATAGCATATCTTAAGAATGCCACATTATTTTTATATAAAACTTAGAGTATCATGAAACTTTTCCTTATACTCGTGCGTACTTGTGAGCGACATTTGTCAAAATGGCAGTTCCTATTCTTTGGCAAGATCTATTCTCATTCGAAAAAAAACATTTATCCATTTCTAAATATTTTTCGTCCACGAAAAAGTTGCGTTAAAAGGATACAGAATTTTCCGAAACACTACATGATCATACAAGATTTCTAAATGTTCTTAATCTATCTCACTTGAAAGTAGTTAAAAAATGTATCAATTTCCAACTTGTTACTTCGAAACCATATTACAACTTATCTAAATTCTTCTACGTAATAACGCACATGGGCGTTATTTCGAAACTCATTTTTTTGAAAATTGTTTTTTTGACTCAAAATAACGCGCCTCCTTAAATGTACCATATTACATATTTTGATCGAATTTTTCATTAATAAAGTAGGGCTTCCTCTTGTAACCCAAATGATTCGAATTACCACGCATGTGCACAATTCTTCTAGAGCTTATTAATGAAGAACTAGAAATACGAATTTTGCAATTTGCAAAAATACTAGGTCACACAAAGTTGATTTGTCGTTTTGCATTCCTGTCGACCCTTTTTTTAAAGTCCCAATTGTGCTAACTATTCTATTTTTGCCATTTAATTTTTTTTTTTATAATTAAGACACTGTAATATGTATTTTGATAAACTGGTTCTTTCCGTTATTTAACTCGTGAGTATATTTTAGACTCTACAATCTTTTATAGCTTCGTTCGAATTATGTATTATTTTGGTCATGAATACAGAAATCCAATTATAATACTTACTATAACGAACTTCTTTATAGTGAACCCTGGACATAATGAATTATTAATTTTTAAAATTTTAAACATATTATTGTATATTCGATGATTCGATATCATTTGTACAAGTTAATCAAGTTTTACAATTCATTTTAAATCTGTTTTCGATTATTATTTAATAATCAAGATTAATTTTATAATATTTTATTTAATAGTGGTTTTGTCTCTTGGAAAACAATTATCATAAGAAAACTTTCCCTTCAAAAAAAAACTTCTTCAAAATAATAATAATACGAAAAATCAAGTTTGAGACTTCAAATCAATTATTTTATCATTACTTATTACCACAGTATTACGTTGGGGTGTTCAATAAACTAATTGATCAAAGTAATAATTATAAATGCTATGTAGTGTTTTATCAATAAAATGTATTATGAGCTTTTTTTACTTTTACATAATTTATGCCGCGGATCAAAATAAAATCGGATTAAATTAAATTTTGAAGTTTCTATAAATTTTACAAAATTTACCTCTAAGGTTTACCCGTAACCTTAAAAAAAAAAAAAACTAAAACTGGATCCTAAAAATTTGTATTTTCCAGTAGCTTGTCTATTTTACACTATACAAATTCATTTAATCTTATTCCATTTAATCCGTCACAACTTATGTTCTACTTAACATTTTATAATTGCAAATCAGTGAGATGCACCATTATAGTTGTTACGAAACCTTAAACTTAAAATGACGAAACCTTACGCTCAATAAGACGAGACCCTAGCGCAAAAAAAAAAAAAATTATGGACCGGTTGAAATAACCTTGTCAAAAAGCCACAGTACTCATGTAATAACACAAATAACGAATTAAAAACATACTGGAACAAAATAAATTTGTGATATTACAAAGTAAGCACCAAGCGACTCTCACTAGAACTGATAACGTAGTGTACTAGTATAATACATTATAGAATACTCCCTTTAAACAATTTAAGCGCCTATTATACAGCAAAATTTTTGGTAATTTGTATAAATTTCTGTCTTTGTTAATTTATTTTTTTATGATGATTTTCAGCAACATTTATTTGTATATTCGTCTTTGTCACCCTTACATTTTCTTCAGTTTCGCGTTTCGTCAGCGCGAAACCTCGAAGTTTCGTCTAACAACTATATGCACCATTATATAAAATAGAAAAATTTACATTTACCCCATAATAGTTATAACACTTTGAACGTCATTGCTATCGTTATCTTTTTCTAACCCAATTTTGGTTAAAAGAGTTCTAAAAATAAACAGAAGTTTTTTTTAAACTCCGAAAAATATATTAATCGCAGGTTATAAACCATTTTGTAATGATCTCTAATATCTCATTACTCCTATACTCAGAAACTTGCATATCTTTATCGATATCAGTATTCCTTATATACTTTTTTTTTGTAACTGACAAAAGGAATTGGCAAGACCCGAGTAACTCCAACCTAATTTGGGAGACCAAAGTTAAACTAGAGTAATTTTGATTAACCCACTTTAGCAAGCATAGAGGGCTTTCATTATGATTGGTTAGTTTTTGTAGATCATTTTGTGACGTGACAAATTTTGATTGGCTAAGAGAAGATAAGTTCAAAGTAAAAAATTCGCTAATAAAAGAATATTAAAATTATAAATT